ATAACAGATATAAATTATGTATGGAACCCAGCAAGGTCATATATCATTTTAAATAAAAGAAAGAAAAACTAACTGCATATAGAAACACCACAAACAATGTATACAGTATTGGAGAACATTATTTACCTGCATCAGAATCAAAGCCATAGCCTCACCAGCAGGTGCAAGGTAGCCAAATTGTACTGGAAATATAGTTGCCAACACTACCACAATAGCTGTTACGAATGGAAGGTTTCCCCCTTGGACTCTAAAAAGTTTTGTCAGATACGTGGCAATTTTACAAATACCTAAGGATACAGCAAGAGCGGCAGCAGTCTGTAGAACGGGTGTTTTGTTTCCAGGCTTAGAATCCATATCAACAGGATCATCTGTCAATGTTCTCATTTTATTAAGAGAAAATAATCGTATTATGAGAAACACATGCATTATGCGCATATGACATACAGTAAACTTACTGTGAAAGAAAAAACCAAAAGGAAAAATTCTACATACCATCTGATGATATTACAGCCTCAGGTGGTATATTAGAGGCTAGCGCAAAAAGAGATGTGAAATATACAGCACATATAACATTATCAGCAGCTAATCCAGCAGCCAAAACCGATGGAGAAACACCAAGTGCCTCTGCAATAGCGACATAATTGACCGCTATAAAACAGAAAAGAAAAAATTCATCAAGATAGGCATGAAAATACATGTCAATGGACCAGCCTGCCAAAAAAATCGGCCGTTCTATACATTGTAGGTTCAAGCCAGGTCTTATTGGCCCCCGAGCTTGAGAAAAGACACATTGACTCATAAAAGGGGGAAAATTATATATAAAAGCCATGAGATAAAAATATTACAACCTGTAAAACCATATGCAACAACACTTATCAAGATTACCTCCTCCAATATGTCTACCCATGAGAGCGGCAGCAATCTTCCAACTATCTTGACCAAGTGATCGCATAGGTACTATAAGATATGCCACTACTGTTCCAACTGTAGTTGCAACTGCCACAAGATAAAACGAAAAACAAATATTATTTCAACTAGATATCCATCAGCAAACTGTCAGAACTCTAGCTGAAAACAACATCAATCCCTAGGTAATATAATAGTATCCTTAATGAAGACGCTGAGACTAATTCCCTACAGTACTCTGCTCTTCTCTTCAGGATTACTTGTATTACATTCCCTACACCCTACAGTACTCTGCTCTTCTCTTCTCTGATCCACAACCTATCAGTTTCCATTCAGGATCTGCTAAAGTTGCATCATCTGAATATCTGCTTGAACATTTATACACACTAACCCCTTAAATCTAAATGGTGGGTAAAACGACAAAACAATGTGTCTGGCAGTATAAATTCCTATTTAATCTCAAGTTACACAAATATAGTGTCCCAATACTGTTGAAAAAGTATCGCTATCTAGCACATTTCTCATTCCAATTTGCTGAAATATAATTTTAAATTCACTTCCGTTCCAAGACAATTTTATTCATAGAATAAAACAACAAAAACCATTAATACAAAAACCCAATGCGCAAAATGAATACCTGACCCAAGCAGGAAAGCTAAGAGCAATGTCCCAGTAGACTTAATCACGCGACGCAAATCAGCTCTAAATAACAGCAATGGAACAGCAATGGGCAAAAGATACTCCAAAACAATGGAATACGCAGGAGCTTCGCAAGAAATAATCCCAAGATTACTTGCAGCAAGACCCACCAATGTACTAACTAATGCCCCACTCAATGTACTCCCAATCTTAGTATTATCCGACCTTCAATGTTCAAAACAACCAAGTCATTAAAAATAAATAAAACTGAAATGGGGGTTGAAAATTATTAAGAGTTTAAGAGTGGGTAGATGAAATTTTACCAGATACCAAAAGCTCCAGTGGCAAAGAGAGCAGTCCAAGTTCCCCAATGATCTTGAGGAGAGATAAGAGGGAAGTTTAATTGAGCTTTGGTCTTAAAAGATCGATTGAACTTTGGGGTTTTAGTTTTAAGAAGGGGGAGTTTGGGGAAAGTGGGTGTTGAAACTCTTGGAAGAAGAAGACGAGAAGAAGAGAGAGTTGATTCTTCATGCAAGAGTAAACGGTTAATGGTGTTGGGAGTTGATAGTGGGATCGCCATTATTGTTTGATTCAATTCTCTCTCTCTCT